AAAAAGAATCATTGTATTGTAAAGCTTAGGAAATGAACCAGAGGTGGCTATAAGGATATATTAGTGTAATCAGTGTGTAGGAAATGATTTCCACTGAGAGAATAAAGTGGTCCATAAGAAAAGAGTGCTGAATTAGATTATTTTCAATTTTGTCTTTAAATTATGCTAGGCCAAAATGTGGCTTTCCTAAAGACTATACAAATAATGGAATTAAGATCACTCTAATACTATGTATAAATTGGTTTGAAAACTTAGTTTTTGGAATAGTTTGTTAGAATCCTAAATCAACACTATCAATGACAGCCAAGTGTCCTAGAGTACAGAACTAAGTTATATGATAATAATGAAATCTAAACCAAGACACTTCAGGCAATACATGATTTGTTGCCATGGAGATGTTTCTAGGTGCTTTCTGACATCACCTTTTTTTTTTTTTGTGGAAACCACTGTACAACTTAAAATTACTTCAAACAAGTTGATCCCATAGAAGTAAAAATTAGAACAGAGGCTGCTAGAGGCTGAGAAGGGGTAGGGGAAGACGTGACTAGGGAGAGATTTGCAAAAGGATACAAAATTACAGCTAAATAGCAGCAAGAAGTTCCAGTGTTCTCTACCACTGTAGGATGATCATAGCTAACAATAATATATTATTTAGTTTCAAATAGCCAAAAGGAGGATATTGAATGTTCACAACACAAAGATATAATAAATGTTTGAGGTGGATAAGCTAATTACCCTAATCTGATCACTATACATTATTGAAACATCTTACATACTATACATCATTGAAACATCACTACATACCCTGTAAATATGTACAATTATTATATGTCAATTAAAAAATAAAATTTACATACATTTTTAAAAACAGGTGAATTCTGAAATATGATCTTGAGTATTGATTTACATTTTTGTCAACTCATTCAATTACCCCACAGATTTTTCCAACAACAAAGGAATAAAATTCCCTAAATATTTAAGATTATTATGAAAAGAGATATCACCTTATTACAAAATTATAATTTTACCTTAAAATCAGGTTCTCATCTATTTTCAAAATTGGCCTATGAATGAGATAGAATTTGGAAAGTCACCTAATAATCGAGATGCATGGGGTAGCCATGGCAACATGCATAATTTTAGTACTTCCTAAAAATATGTATTTAGGAAGAACTGCAGGAGAATCCTCTTCGGATTCAGGTGATGAGCCCTTGTTGGACGATATGACTGAGAGGGAGCCAGTCATGGAATTTCTTTTATTTTCTTTTTTCTCTCTCTCTCTCTCCCTCTCTCTTTCTTTCTTTCTTTTTTTTTTTCTTGACAGAGTCTCATTATGTCGCCCTCGGTAGAGTGAGGTGGTATCACAGCTCACAGCAACCTCAAACTCTTGGGCGTAAGTGATTCTCTTGCCTCAGCCTCCCAAGTAGCTGGGATTACAGGTGCCTGACACAATGCCTGGCTATTTTTTTATTGTAGTTGTCATTGTTGCTTAGCAGGCCCCGGCTGGGTTCAAACCCACCAGCCCTGGTGCATGTGGCCGGTGCCCTGGCCGCTGAGCTACAGGTGCTGAGTCCAGTCATGGAATTTCAAGTCCTTATTTCTAAAATCAGAACACTTTACCACTGACTTGTAAGTATATACACCCCCTGTATCACAGAATTAATTCATTTAAATGTGGTTTTAGTTTCTGCAGAAGCCCACATCCTACAGTGTCCCGCAGAAATCCCTGTAGTAAAACTAATTATACATCATTTTATGCTGCACCTCCACCTTGTGCCTACTTTTGTTTTCCTGTATCATCCCCCAGTAGCCACCACTGTACAGGAAATGTCTTTGTCTATTCCGTCCTTTTCAAGCTGTCACAAGTTATGCTGAGAGCCAACAGGCCTCATACTCCTAGTGGTTAAAGTGAAGCAAGGACTATAGCTGAGCAGTCAGAGGCCTGAGTTCAAATGGAGCACCTGTCATTCCTGGCAGTTTTAACTTGGGCAAGTCACTTAGCCTCGATGAACAGTCGGAGTCCCCATCAGTAACAGGACACCTGACATCACGGGATTCTGGTAAGAATCAGGGAAGCCTATGTCAGTAAGCTAGGACTCATAATCCACAATGCACTTCCTTTTAGCCCATCCAAGGCGCGAGCTCCCGGGAGCGAAAGTGGCAATGTCGCCACGGCCCTGAGTAGCCAGCGGCACCTGCTTTGGGGACGCCGAGGGGCGGAGGAAACAGCTGGAAGACCGGCTTCCGCGGCCCGCCTGGCAGAAGACCGGTGTCTGCCATCCCCGCCACCCTGCGCACCCCAGTCAGACCTCGCCCCCCCCCAACTCAGCTCCAACCTCACTCCTTGACCCATGCGCTGTCCCTGCCACTCAGAATCTCAGCCCACCCTCAGGACGTCGGGGTGTGGGTACTGGAACCGGCGGGGCGGATTCCCCTCCCCGCGGACAAGACCCAGGCTTGGAGGATACAGCACCCCAACTCTCTGGGCCGGCTCCGGGAGGGAGATCACCCAGCTGGGATCCCGGGGCTGAGAAAACGGGGGCGGGGGGCGCTCCCAGGCGATCGAGGGGCGGTACCTCGTCGCAGTGGCGGTGGAACTCCTCCATGGTGGCGCCGGCTCTCCCTGGGGGCGGAGCGACGCGCAAGTCTAGCTCTGCAGCCGCGCACTGGCCTCCAGGGAGGCCCCGCCCTCTTTGATGGCCTGGGGCCTTTCTCCACGTAGTCCCCGCCTCTGTGTCGCAGTGGCGTCACCTTCCTGGCAACGCGGGGTGGGCCCTGGGCAACGCCGGGCGTCAATGTAGGCCCGCACTTCTAGCTTCTTAATCTAAAGTATCTGGAAAGAGCGGATGTTAAAGAGCTGGGAATCCTGCCAGGGTGGATCAGATAGGGTGTTCTGGTGTCAGTCGGTCTAAATTCTGCAGTATTGGTTGAGTGCATGCTGCTGTGGTTATTTGCACCTATTTGTTCATTCGTCCTCATCCAGCAAATAAATATAGTTAATGCAATGGGAACAAGACACTTTGATTTGTCCACTTACTAGCTATGACACCTGGAAAAAAATACCTCCCACAGTTTCAATTTTCGGATATGAAAATATACCTATTTCACAACTGGTTGTAAGGATCAAATGAGATGCCATGCACACAAGTCCTAAAGTAAATACTTCTACTTCCTCTGTGCCTGTGTAGGAAGGAATGTATGATTTATGGGAGAGAAGGAACAAATAAATTATAAATGTCAGCAAGAGAAAAATAAGTACATTTATTTAAAAATTACTAAAATCCAAGTAATCCTAAGGATTTCCTTAAAACTTCACAGTAATCCAGAAAGTTTGCTTTATTCATCAGCCCATTTTTCAAGATGAAACTGAGGTACAGAGAATTTAAGTAGCTTTCCTAAGGTCATGTATCTAGTAAGATGAACTTGAACTCAAGTAGTCTGACAGCAGAGCCCAAGTTTTTAAGTACTGTTTGAGTGTTCTATTGCTGCCGTAACACATTAGCACAGATTTAGTAGCTTAAAGCATTACAAACTCATTCTTTTATGGTTCTGGAGGTCAGAAGTCTAAACTGGGTCCATAGGGTTGGGTCTCTTCTGTAAGAAATCTGTTTCCATGATGGTTCCAGCTTCTGGAGACTACCTGCATTCTTTGGTTCATTACTCCTTTCTCCAGCTTCAAAGCCAGCAGTGTCTTCTCTTCTCTCTGATCTCTGCTTCCATCCCCATGTCTCCTCTGTATGACTCTCACCCTTCTATCTCCCACATCAAAACCTTTAATCATATCTGCGAAGTGCCTTTTGCCATGGAAGGTAACATTCACAGGCTCTGGGGATTCACATGTGGGTATCTTTGGGGAAGAACATTATTCAGCCTACCATACTACTTTTCCATTTGCTGCCTACCTTCATATTTGGAAGGTTCATTAGTCCTCCAGCCCAGAACTCTTATTTTACAAGTAAAACTGTAGCAGAGAGAAGTGAAGTAACTTGTATAAAGCACATAGGTATTGGTGGATATCTGAGCTTCTTAATGTCAGACCTCTCCATTCCCGGCTCCCATTTTATGAGCTTAGAGCTAAATAAGGCTTTTTACTTGATAATATAAATTTTGCTATTGGTTCTCTGAAAGTGTTCTCAGAGCCTCTGATCGGAGACATAGGGAAAAGGAACTGCAGACGAGATGATTGATTTGAAGGGAGGTGGAGACTCACTCAACTCAGTGACCAGGCCTGACTTTACTGATTATCTTATATACTTTTAAACATTCAGTAAGAATTTAACACAGATACAAAGAAGTGAAGTAACATTAGGAAGCTACCATTAAGATTACAATTCAGTGTGAAGGCTGAGGAACACATATACAATTGATTTTGTTTAGAGTAAAAACATAAAGGAGACTGACGGTCTGTTCTTGCTGGCCCAAACTAAAACTAGAGATTATAGTGTTAATGAAGGAAGAAGACAGAGAACAGAACCCAACGCTTGAGGACATGTGTTCGAGCTTCCAGCTGTGACCTCAGCCTGATTCTCCAGATCTCTTCTTTGAGAGGCTTTCTGCATATTTCTGCATATCTGCATATCTATAGGCAGGTGCAGAAGCTCGATCTTTGAAGAAATCTTTCTCAGAATCAATCTCCTGGGGGAGCACATTGAAGCAAACTGCCATGTCTGAGCACGGGGTGCTCATCACTACAGTTCTCCTAAGTTGTGAGTCATGCAACGTCACTGCAAAAAAGTTGTGCTTGTAATTCATGAAAAAAGTATATCCCATTTAAAGAATTTTTTTAAAACCAAAGTTATTGACCTATGAGGAATCTTAACATTCTACTTATGAGGAGGATTAGTTGTGTCTTTGTGAACACCAACCTTACTTTGCTAAAGAATTGTTTCTATGTCTACACGGGTTAAACCCTGTAGTTAGCTATACTTAAAGGTACAAGGGCTATACATCTCAAGTTTATGTTATGTGGTAACTCATGATAAATATAAAGTGAGATGAAAAAGTGTTCCAGTTACCATCCCTATGTAATAAATTCACCCAGAATTTAGTAGCTTATTTATTTTATTGTATTATGCTAATGGATTCTGTTGGTCAGAAATTTGAACAAGGCACAAGAGAAATAACCTGTCTCTGCTCCATGATATATGGTGCCTCAGCTGGGAAGATTCAGGGATCAAAAAGGAACTTGATGGTGGAGGCCAGAATAATTTGAAGACTTGTTCAGTATAGTTCATTCATATGTCTGATATCTGGGCTGGGAAAAATAAAATAATAGCACTTTCAAGTGGATCACCAACACGTGGAACCATCAAGTGAGTAGGCTTTTTACCATAATCCCAGCCTTAGGGCAGTCAGATATTTTACATAGCTACTCAAAACCCTAAGTGTAAGTGTTTCCATTCACCATGGCAGAAACTGTGTCGCCTTTTATGACATACTCTCAGAAATCACAGTGTCTTTTCCACCATATTCTAATCATTAAAAGCAGTCACAACCCACTTAGACTCAAGGAGAAGGGGTACAGATGCCACCTCTCAATGACAGACGTGTGAAATAATGTGGGAGCCATGCTTCAAAACCACTACAGCTTTATTAGTTAGCATCCTTTGGTTGAAAGTAACAGAAGACCCAAATGTGGGAAGAATTGAAATTTTAAGGGCATTTCTTTTCTTGTATAACCAGACATAAAGAGGTAGAGATGTTCTAGGTTAGTTTAGTTGTTTAACAAATTTTGGGGGCCTCTGTGCTTTCTATATTTCCATGCCACTATTCTCAACACATCAGCAACATTTAGCCTCACAGTCATACATTAGTTCTAGTATTAGTATTATACTAGTATTAGTATTACTATATACTAATACTAGTATTAGTATTATAAGGAGCAAAGATGTCACACCCAGTGAAGAAGATTGAACATTGCCTTGGGTTGATCACTTTTTCTTAGGAAGGCAAATATTTCAAGTTCCCAAGAGTCTTTTCCTCAGGTCCCATTGGCCAAGATTGGGCTATATAATTTCCCCCCTTGGGAAAACATATTTTTGGTGTTTTCATCTTTTATAGTTAAAAGTGAGTTATGCTAATAAGAAAAAAAAGTATGTGAAATAAATGTGGGTAGGTCTGTCCTTTCCAACGTTTTTCACACCATGGCCCATACCGTAGATAATATTCATATGCTACATGATGGTAAATTGAAGGTGCTTTGTGGGAATCTTCATAGGGTTCGGTTAAAAATGGTTTCTTTATATAAGTGTAGCCAAAAAATAGAAAAGATGTTGTAATTGAATTTGCGACAACTTAGCCGGGCGTTGTGGCGGGTGCCTGTGGTCCCAGCTACTTGGGAGGCGGAGGCAGGAGACTCGCTTGAGCCCAGGAGTTGGAGGTTGCTGTGAGCTGTAATGCCACGGCACTCTACCCAGGGGGACAGCTTGAGGCTCTGTCTCAGAAAAAAAAAAAAAAAAAGAATTTGCGACAACTTCCAAATAAAATCTTTTAAAATGATTTATTAAGATCCTATTTTTCAGTAATATAACATTTTATATCTGACTTAATGCTTTAAATAATTATAAGCAATTTCTATCCAAGAGTTTTTTAATAATTATTTATCTTAAAAAAAATTTTTTTGAGACAGAGTCTCAAACTGTTGCCCTGGGTAGAGTGCCGTCACGTCAAAGCTCATAGCAACCTCAAACTCTTGGACTTAAGTGATTCTCTTTCCTCAGCCTCCCAAGTAGCTGGGACTACAGGTGCCCACCACTATGCCCACCTATTTTTTTTTGTTGTAGTTATCATTGTTGTTTGGCAGCCCGGGGCTGGGTTGGAACCTGCCAACCTCATTGTATGTGGCCAGAACCCTAACCACTGAGCTAAGGGTGCCAAGCCTCAAATCTTAATTGTTAAGAAATAATCTCCTTATAAGTAGCTGATAAAACACATTTTGACCCTCTTTACAAACTATTCAAATTATATTTAAAGGCTTTTGTAATACTGTACTAAGTACTCAGGACCATCCCTTTGACTGACAATTAGAAATGTTGAAAAATATATAATAGACATTTTGTTCAAAGAAAGTGGAGATTTAACAAGGTAAGGAAAAACTATGGATCTAAGACTTAGGAGCAGAATGAAATTTAAGATGAGCATGGCATATTGCCAGAGGTAAGAAGATGCTAAGCCTTTTGCCTATGGGCCAAGAAGTAAAAGAATCATATTTCATGGCCTGCCAAGGAGGATTCTGGTAAACAATCATATGTTGGGTAGCACAATGAGTAAAACATCAAAACTTGATCTTCCAGGGAATGAAACCCAGTTTTAAATCACTTTAACCACTAAAATTGAGTTAAGGTGACCTGGCATTGCTAATGCCTCCAGCCAACTTCCAGAAGCAAATGTAAATTGTTTCTGAAGGAGGAAATTGTTAATTTAGGCCTCAAAATAAACATATACCTTTTCACATACATCAACTACACAATAAAACACAATTAAGCACATGAAGAGACAAAACAACATTATCTCTAAAGCTTACATGACCTAAAAAAAGGAAAAGTAAAACAAACAAACAAACAAAAAACAATCATAAACCAAAGTACAATGAAAACAGCCCAACCAGGGATCTAAATGGAAGAGTACATTTCAATAGACTTTAAAATAGATTTTAAAATAACTATGCTTACTATATCCAGGGAGATAAAAGCATGATAGAAAATTTAATAAAATATCTGGAAACTATAA